CATTGCAAATGTCTTCAGTTTTGGGAGGTTGAGGGTTTCTCTCCATTCAGAGGTATCTCCTGTATCTTGTGTATATGGCCACTAGGTCTTCCATCAGGTGTTGAATGCTGGGAATGGGGGATGTTGTGTGATCAGATCCTTGGGCACTAAACATGATGTATGAAATGGGGCCAGTAATCCTTTAAACTGCCACTGTGGTGAGGGGCAGGGTGGTTTACACAGAAAACCTAAATATGTAGGTATTTCAATGCTGCTGAGTGCAGCATTGACTATTTTGTTTGAAAACACAAAATAACTTATGCCTGCAGTAGTGACTGTTAAGTCATTGGTAAGCCTGTTCATTATTACTTTTACTGTTGAGTTCATGCTTTTAAAAATTTATTAGACTCTCTCTTCTGTAGTGCAGGATTATGATCTAGAGTTAATTCTTGAGACGGATGCTTTTGGCCTTTTCTCTAAACCTTTTTAGGTTATTTGAGACGCTGAGGTGTGCCCCTTCCTTGCTAGGAAGAGGAGGATGATACTTTGAGACTTTCTAGGTGATGCGGTACTGTGAAGGAAGGGATTTGTCCCCAGCAGCAGAAGAAGTTTCAAAATCCAAGCCAACTGAGGAATGATCTAAACAAAAAGAAGAGTTTTCTAAGGTCCTGTAGTCCTGGCAGAATAGGTTTTATCCCCCTTTAAGTTTTAAAAATGGATTCATTCCATCCTTTCTAGGGTTTGCTAGAAAATCATCCCTGCATTTTTAGGCACCTCCTCTCCTGGGCTCCAGCCTGTTCTAGGGTCTCCGTGCCATGTCGCCAAGGGGTAGGTAGACAAGGGCAGCCTTCGCTAGCTCTGCTCCCTACAGTCTAGACCCTTCCTGTGGAAACACTTTGCAGTCTAGGAAGGGACAGTAAGTGGTGGCTGCTGCTTCATGTCCTGTTTGCATCTCAAATGTATGATAACTTATACCAGAGGCGGTTACATTCAGTTAGATTAATGTTGGAAATGCATGTTGCCTTTGTGCTGCAACAACGAGTTTTTATGGTGGCACAAAGGCCAAGTGGGCTTCTGGCAAGGGTCTGTGCCCCCAAGCAAAGGGCCGTGCCCCTTGTCACAACCACAAAGTTTGGGCATTTGTGGTGTGACAGGAGGTAGTAATTTGTGCCTCTTTTTCACATTATGGCAAGAGAGTGCAGGCAGCCCAGAGCTTCCCACACTTGGGGAGGTTGCTTCCAAGGCTTGAGAAGCCAAGTCCGCAGACTTTCTGGGTTTCCCCCCTTAGAGACATACCCTGGAAATTCCCACGATCAGTGGGTGGAGCTGCAGGCCGTGTTGTTTCACTGGGTGTTTCACCCAGTGAAGCGAATCGGCTGTGCCAGGACTCATTTCTGCACAGCTGATCCACTTCACTTGGCAATCGATGTCTGTTTATACCCTAAGAAAACAGGGAACAAAAGTGAAGTTTCCAGCCGCAGATTGTGTAAGGTTCCAGACTGGCAACAAGCCTGAGAACAAAATGGCTTTGTTACTCTTCTGTGATCTCACAGAGGTCCATGCATTTTAAAGGTGAACGCAGGAAATAAAGAGCTTTGGCAACAAAGCTGTCTTCCCACCTTGTGCTCAGTGGAAAGGAGCAGTCATGCTTCTTGCTTGGAGGAAGTTCTGTTTTTGGACCCCACCCTCATTCCTCTCTCTCGTCAGCAGCTCATTCCTTCCATTGCTGGGAGTGAACTACTGGATCGACTGAATTAGTGCCGGCTACTTTTTGGTAGCTTCTGGAGAGACTTCAGCACAGATGCAGCCTTAGAGTTCATGGAATTGATTAAAAAAAAAAAAAAAAGAAGACGACTTAGGGATATTTTAAGAGGGAGGTGGTAGGAGACCAATCAGTGAGAGGGGAATGGGTTGTTTCCCAGAGAAAAATCCCCCCCAATAGCTTCATATGAATACTGGTCTCTTCCAAGACCTACGACTGGGAAGCACTTGTACCAGAGTCTCTAGGGAACAAAATCATCCAAGAAAGGAGGAAAATCTATAGTGATCTGCAGAAATTTGTGGTGACCCGGAAGTGCCTCATCTCCACAGCTGTTGAAGGAGAACTTGGGTTCTGTTTTTCAGATGTAAGCTCTCCTCCTTAATGATGAAAATAGTTTGTATATTAAAATTTTGCAGAGGGAAGGGAAAAGAAGCTAGTACTAGAGATTTGTATATGTTGCAACCATTAAAAGGCCTTATTGGGACACATTCCTGACAGTACTATTGAATGCCTGAGAAATCTACTTAAGATTATCTACCCACTCCCCAAGATGAGTTCTCAGATCCTTTGATAAATCCCTGTCTTGAATAGTTAAATGAACTGAAATCCTTAAAGAAGAGAGTTCTTCCTGAGGGAGCTTTCTAGCAAGGAAAATAAAGATCCCATTTAAAAGGACTTCTGAGTTGCCTGGTCACACCCTATGTATATAATGCATGCCTCCACAATAGCAGTCATGTGACTTCCTGAGCTTGCCAAGTTGCCAGAAGTCCAAGGAAAGCAACCAAATCCTGTTCTGACTTCAGCTTTTCTAGGTTCAGCATTGTTACTTGTATGCGATACCAACTTATCAGATCTGCTTCCAAATTTGGAGCAGCAACAATCAGTGGTCCAGATATCAGACCAGCCACTTGGTTGTTTTTTTCAGTGGAAATTCCTCTTCAGAGTGGTGCTTCAGAGAATCCAAGACTTGTAGATCAGCAAGAGCCTAAAGTTCTGTGTCACCAGAGCATTCTTCCCTTGGTAGAAACTGATGCCACAGAAATCTTTGGACCCTCTAGTCAGCCCTGGGCTGTGGAGTGGGGGGGGCGGCTGGTGCTTTCCTCCATGGCAGTGGCTGCTCCCCTCCCCTAGGCAGCACCTACCTGCAGGCACCTGGCTCTGGCGGTCCTGGGGGGCACTGCAGCTATGGAGGGAAGCACCAGGCCCCCACACAGCATAGATAAGCAGGTTGGGGGGAGGGGAGATCAGGCTTGCCATTTTTTTTCTTGAGCAGAGCCTGCCTTCCCAGGCTGCTGCCAGGCTGCCTGCAGGGCTTCCTGCAGAGCCGTGGAGCTGCACGGAGCCCAGTGCTTCGCTCCACGGCTGTAGGGGCAGCAAACTAAAACTCCTAGAAGGGGTTTTAATTTGCTGTGCCCCAAGTCGTTTAAGGTGCATTACGCTGCCGAATTGCCTATAGTGACTAGAATTAATGCACAATACGCCGCCAAGGCATGCAAACACCAACACCATTAAAGCGGTGCAAAAGCATTTAGCCCGCTTTAAAGTGTCATGCATGCATGCCTCTCGTTTAATCTACACACAGCCTAAAATGAAGAAATCGCTTGCATAAATGCTGGCCAGGGTCTCCAACGTCTCATGGAATGAAATAGGTTCGTTCAGTGGAACCTTTACCTTGGGGACAGCAGCGCGTTCAGATGGAGCGCTGCTTAGTAGAAAGGCTTAGATCAGATGCATCTAAATAGCAAAAGAAAATCTGATTTCTACCCTTTTTACTACAACTTCAGATGTTTGAGGTCATGCTGTGCAGCTGCCTGCTATCATATATGAACTGATATGATAGCAGCTGTCCTGCTCTCATAATAGAAATGATCAGGATCAAGGATGTAGCCAAGGAAAACCAGCTGTTGATATTGGAGATAACGTAGCGATCACGTTTGTATAAAGTAGGTTTTGAAGGACAAGGAAGTTTTGCCACTTGGAAAAAGAGCTGTTGTGAGTGTAACGAGGAGCATAAAGGATTGAGCTTTGGAGGAGGGAAGATGCAGTTGCAGTCAGGGCAAAGAAGAGAGATGAAAATGGAGATTAAAGGTGTGGCTTTTGGCAGGTTCAAAATGTTAAAACCAGAAAGCTGTCCAAGCTATACAATTTCTGGGAATTGTCCCAACTTAAATTGCCTTTCATGTAGGCAAGCCTGTAGGCTCTGCTAGTAGCTCAGTGGGTAGTTGTGACTTGACTGTTCAGCACTGTAGTGTCTTGGCTATGGGGTCATCCTTTACAGGATATTTAGGCATCTAGTGATAGAGACCTTTTGTAAATCTGCCCTTTCCCACCAGTTGAGACATGCTTCATGCTTGTGGCTCTCACAATTTAAAAAACCCAGGGTTCCAGACACTTGCAGATCTCCTGTGAGTTTGTACGGATGTTTAGCATGAACACATTTTACACTGGAATGGGATAAAATACTAAAATTTCTCCTAATAATGTCTTTTATTGCATGGTTTGTTCTGCCTTTGGCAGCTGAGGCAGGCTTGCCATGCCACACCAGTGACTACCTGAGAGGATTAGAAATCCTTTGTTACCTCCATTGAGAACACTGCTTTGTTTTCAGTCACTCACCAGAGCTGTTAATAAGCTGGTTTGTCAGCCCTTCAAGAATGAAGTTCTGTGTGGAAACCAATGCGTGTAGGGTCAGAGATGGAGGGAGATCTACTTGGCAAAATGGAAAGTTTTTATATATTATGATCTCTTCCCTTCTTTAGGGTGCTTCTGCTCCCCAGCCGCTAGAGAACCTTGGTACATCTGCAGCAAACACTTCAGAATCCCTTCCTTCCAAACCCTGTGGAGCACTGAGACCTGTCAATGGTGTCATTAACACGTAAGGCTTTTGCATATATGGAGTGAGAGATGGGGCACAGAAGGGATGTTCTGTTATGACCTAGCCCCCATACGAGACAGTTTTTGTGTGGTGTGAGCTTTTTTTCAGATGTGTTTACAGTCTCATGGTTGTGATAGTGTGCCCACACCTTCTCGCAAACTATGCTCTGAAACAGTGTTGCAGACTGACTACATACATGGGGTTGAGCTGTAGTATAGTTCTGCTTAGAATGCTTTTCTGAAAATACTGTAATTTGCTTGGATAAGTGAACTCACACCTGAACTGTGCAATGGTATGTTAGAAAAAACAGGTTCACAGTTCTGGTGAACCTGTTTAATGGGTGCTTTTTTTTTATACCCATCCTACTTGTATGATTCAGGCTTACTAGATAGAGAACCCTGGTGAACTTGCAGATGCATCCTATCCTGTTGCCATTAGTAGACCCTAAACCAGTGGTTCTCAATCTTTTTAGCCTTAAGGCACCCCTCCATAACTTCCTTTTTCAGAATTTAGTGGTACCACAGGATGCCAGTTTGAGATTTACTGAGCTAGACTCTAAATTCAGAAAAGTTATGGAGGGCTGACTTAAAGCTAAAAAGATTGAGAAACACAGATCTGACTGGTGCCAGGGAAGGGCAGCAGGGACAGGATCTCGCCCTGCTGTGCCCCCCTCTTTCCACCGCCTACTGTCTGTCCCTTCTGCTGGCCGATACCTGAGGGAGCAAGGGTGGTCCCTGCAGCCAAGGATGCAGGGACTGGACAAGGATTCCCCTGGGGTCATGCATGCCAGCAACTGGAGTTATTTGCCCCTATGGCCCGTCCTGCTAGCTTGGGGGTGTATGTGGGAGAAACCATGGGGGTGAGCTGAGCTGAAAAACTCTGTGCCTGCATCTACACCCAGCAGAGCATGCTGCTCAGTGTTGGAGAAGGTAGCACAGGTATGCCAGAGGGCAGGACAGGGAAGCAGTCCCCAGAGGAGCAACCAGAGATGCTGCAGTGGGCACTGGAGCTGGATGGGGAGAAGTGAATGTTTTATTCCTCACACACAAGCTGGGTGTCATGGCTCACCAGTTGAGAATCACTGCCCTAGAATTTATAAATAAGTAAGTGAGAGTAAGCACTAGAAACTTTTCTGGGTTAGAGAATTTTAAGGTTGCAAGTCTCTGCTACAGTTCTTGCAATGTATGTAGTACTCAAAAGTCCATGCAGTACCATTGCACTTGCTCTAAACGTCTCTTATCGGGAGACTGCAGTGGGTAAAGCCATGGGCAGCTGGTGCCTCCTGAGTCTCGGGGTGCTGCCAGGGGTGGGGTCAGAGCTGTTGGGCACCAGGGTGGGGGGGAGGCACGTGCACACACACCCCCTCCCCCCCCGGACCTCCCCTACATGTCACCTATGGGTAAAGCAAAGAGGGGCGCAGACTACTAGTAGTAACAAATATCTCTCTGCCTACAATTTGCTCTGAAGTTTGGACCCTTGATCACTTCATTCTGGCCTTCATAACTTAGCTGCACCTCAGAAGACCTAGGACTATAATTTCAGGAGCTGCTACTTGTAAGAATTGAGGCATGTGGTTGGGGCAGTGACAGAACCAGCCAATGGATTCCTTGGGTCACAATTGAAAGATGGAAGTAAAGGTCAAACATCTCTCCTAACTATACACTTGGTCCAATAACGTATTTCTCAAAACCTCCTTGTGTCTCATACATTTCCGAGACCATTGCAAATAAAACGCAACACTACTCCCCATATATTGAAGCTTGGAGGCAGACTTGTGCAAAACTCATGCTACGTAATACTCTTTCCATTGTATTTCCATAACTGTTTTGTTTTACTTTAAAATGGGGGGGAATGGAGAAGGGTTAACAAAATTTAAAATGCTTTTAATCTTGTTACTGAAGTGGTAACTAAAATCAAGAAACCTAATTGGCATCTTAAGACAACCGGGAGACACTTAATAGGTGCACAACACTAAGTCTGAATCTCTTCTGTTCTTGGGCAGTCTTCAGCCTGGCTTGGCAGAACATGCTCAGGGAGACGGCCCAGATGCTGAGGAGCTGTTACATAAAAAGCAGCGACTGAACATGGTCTCTTCTCCTCCTTCCGATGCAACCTGTGTTGCAGCTCGCACCCGCCCAGCACTAAGCTACAAGAAGAGACGGCTTGTTCGACCTAGCAACATTGTGCCCCTATCCAAAAAGGTCAGTGTGTGAAGGTGTTGACTTGTCCATCTTTTGGTGGGGGGTTGTCAGTGGGATGTGCATATGGGATGTACATGTTGAAGGCTTGACACAGTGGTCTGGTGTACTTCCACTACAGTGAATTGCTTTTTTATAAAAGTTGTTCTAAGAAGCTTTTAAATGGGGAAAAAGTCCTTCAGCAGAAGATGCAAGGCTCTAGGGGAGGGACTTCTTTCCTAAATGTTAACTAAAACTTAAGCTGATGAAAAAGATCTCAAAATGAAATGTGTTCTTCAACCTTCAGTGGCTTGGGTGAGGGGGTAGAAAGCACCCTGTTCAAATTCACAGATGACACTAAGATGTGGGGTGAAGTGGGTACGCTAGTAGGAAGGAACAGGCTGCAAGCGGATCTAGACAGGTTACAGGGGGGGGCCAATGAGAACAGGGAGGGGTTCAACACTGACAAGTGCAGGGTAATGCACCTGGGGAGAGAGAACCAGCAGCACACATACAGGCTGGGGAACTCCCTTCTTGCCAGTGTCGACGGAAAAGGATCTTGGAGTCATCGTTGATACCACAATGAACATGGGCTGACAAAGTGGGGACGTGGTCAGGAAGGCCAACCATACCTTGTCGTGCATCCACAGATGCATCTCAAGCAGGTCTAAGGAGGTGATCCTCCCCCTCTATGTGACACTGGTCAGGCTGCAGTTGGAGTACCAGTTTGGGGCACCACACTTCAGGAGAGATGTGGCCAATATGGAGAGGGTCCAAAGGAGGGCTACCCGCATGATCAGGGGTCAGCAGGGCAGGCCCTATGAGGAGAGGCTACGGGACCTGAACCTGTTCAGCCTCCAAAAGAGAAGGCTGAGAGGGGATCTAGTGGCAGTCTACAAACTAGTCAAGGGGGACCAGCAGGCATTGGAAGAGTTCCTGTTCCCCCAAGCACTCCTGGGAGTTGCAAGAAACAATGGACACAAGCTAGCGGAGGGTAGTTTCAGGCTAGACATAAGGAGGTGCTATTTCACTGTCAGGGCGGCTAGGATCTGGAACCAGCTTCCAAAAGAAGTGGTGCTGGCTCCTACCCTGGCAGTCTTTAAAAAAAGGCTGGACTAACATCTGGCCGGGGTTGTTTGACCCCAGTACTCTTTCCTGCCTGGCAGGGGGTCGGACTAGATAATCTTGGGTCCCTTCCGACCCTACCAACTATGAAACCTTAACATTATGCCCTGCCCTGCATAATGACCTGTAGTTGGTTAGCTGCTTTAGCCGTCAGTCCTGACACATGTTAGTGTTTTGTTCCTGTATCTTTTTCATATTCTTCTCTGCATGATCTTTCTCACCCTTGCTTCCTTCAGCGCTTTTTTTTTTTTTTGGTCGCTTTTTGTTTTTTGATTCGTTTTGTTTGTTTTGGTTTTTGTAAACTTTTGCTAAGCAGTTAGTTTGGGGGAGAGCAATGCTTCATCTAACCCCTATGATAGTTGGTGCAAGTTGTGTACAGCCCTTCTAAAGCTAATGTCATTGAGGGAGGATAAGGAGGGAATGTTCCTTTTTGTGTGGAGAGATATCATTGCTGACTTCTGTATTTATTATGGAAACTTCTGTTAAAATGTAATGAAAAGGAATCTTGTTATGGAGTGTCACTATCTAGATGGACTAGTATTTATGTGGTCATAGCAAACTATTCCAATACGAGTACTAAAGGCTATATTACTAATGAATGAATGTGAATCTTCCAGTGTTCAGTCCTGCTAGAAGTTTAGTTGAACTCCCAATAATTGTTCTGTAATGAGTAGTGAGACCCATCTAACAGGCCAGACCAGCTTATTTCCCCATAGGCAGAATGGTTTCAAACCAATTTGCATTACCCTAGGGTTATAAGCCCAGGAAGCTTTGGGGAGTGGCAGTCTCCAGGTACTAGAATTAAAAGGATGAGCTTGAGGGCTTCTGTCCTGATGAACAAAAATGGTGTTGAAATGTTGCCTGCTTGAGTTAGCTTAATAGAACTAAACAAGGAGTCATCATACACTGAGGGTATTTCCAGTGGGGCTCTGCAGGGATCTATTTTTGGCCAATGACTTTCAAAATCTTTAGTGATTATCTGGAAGGATATCATTGCTAGTAAAGCTTGCCGATGAGTCAAATTGGTGGGGTTAGTAAATGGCTGTAAAGGAAGATCAGTTATAGACAATGAATTGGACTACTTAAGAGGGTGCACTCATTTGAATTATGCAGTTTAATGCAACCCAATGAAAGGATATGCCGTTCAGGACACAGGAGGTACCCTGAAAATGTCACGGACACTGAAAAGGGCTTGCTTATAAGTGAGAGTTGATAACAATCGCACTGGAAGTTCACACTGAACTGGTTATCAATAAGAGGGATGATTGTAATCTTGGTTATATAAGATAGATATCTGGTGATAGCTGTTGTTACCTCTGTGTGCAGAATTGGTCAGACCACTGCTAGAATATTGTTCTGCATTTCTGGTGTCCCTGTACCTACAAGGATATTAACAAAAAGAAAAAGCCAGCTGAATGATCCTAAGACTGGAAAGCATGCTTTTGTAGTGAAAGACCTAACCTCAGTCAGCTGCCCTTCTCTTTAATAAGTACTGACTTGATCACAGTCTATAAGTACCTTATTTGAAAAGATTTCTGCTACTAGCTGGCTCCTTAATCTAGAGCATGTAATGAGATCCAGTGGCTGGAAGCTAAAGCTAGACACTTTCAGACTGGAAATGAGGGGCCCAATTTATACTGAGAGGGTAACTATTCACTGAGACAACTTGGGGATGGTGGTGGTTTTCCATTATTTGAAATCTTTAAGTGAAGCTTAGATGTCTTTCCAAAGCATGATGTTACTTAAGGAGAAGTTATGGGCTTGATGCAGGACTTAACAGGTGAGAGGTTCTGCGGCCTGTGTTTATACAGGAAGTCTAGATAATCATAATGATTCTTTCTTACTTTAAAACCTATAAATAAATGAAGCAAAAATCCTAATTCAATTGACCAAGCATAATTTAAATAAAAAAGACCAGCCTTCTTTCTGTTAAGATGGCCCCTGCAGCTGATGCAACAGTTGCTGTCACTGACCTCTCTCTAGGTTAAGATAATGGTGTGTTTTCTGTAATTAATCAAATAGAACTAGCTTCACTTGATTTGGTGTTTAATGAACTTTTTAATATAGATATGGTGTAAGATTTTATTCCGTGTTGTCAGATTGTTTTATTGCTAAAAGTGAGCTCTAGGTGGTGGTGGTGTATGCACTGAAGTTGAATACAGTTTTCAGCTTTTGAGTATGGTGGGGGTAAAGCAGCATTTCCCTACGCTAGTCAGTATTGCATGAGGAATGAAGGGTGCAGTGTCCCAGACTTTTTCAGTGATTTGCCCAAAGTCTGCATGTGGGAGGAGCAGACGTGGACACTGATCACTTTTGAGATGAACATAGGTTTCTTTTCCTTTCCTAGGTCCTTCGTAACAGCATGGCACGATGTAGCTGTGACGTGAATCCCTTGTGCGCCCTCTGTGGCACCCGAAGCTCCGTGTCTCTGGAAATCCAGTATGATGCCCCTTTGCTGGAGCGCCTCTCCCAGCTGGACTCCTGTATTCACCCTGTTCTGTCATTCCCAGATGGTAAGTATCATTGAATGAAATTCACAATAAACAGAACTGTAAGGAGTGGGCAGAGAAATACCTTGGAGGAAAGAGTTGAAACCAGCGCCTCAGATGGGTCAGAGCCCAGGGCACCTTGAATAGGACAATAACCGAGGCTCCTAGAGGCCCATCCATTCTGCCATGCTGCTGTTTTATAGGGTGTTCAGTTAATTATCATAGTGCAAAGTACTGAATATGTGCAGTTGAGTAGAACATGCAGTTGGGTGGTGTGTGTGTGTTTTTTGTTTTTTTTCCCCCCCCCAAGGAGCGTGGTAGTTCCTGGTATGGAAAAGTGAAAAGAAAACAGCATGTCTTGAATCCACACTACTGTAAGCATGCATCTGTGTAGTCAAACCTCTTGAGAGAACTAACCTGGTGCCTGGTTTCCTGGGGTTAAGAGAGCAAAGCAAATAGTTTGATGCATGATGATTGAGTCTGATATCAGAGTTCATAAGTATTGTAGTGACCATGTTGCATAAACCAGGTGGGAGATGTGGTTCCAGAGAGGTTTTCAATTTGTATCAGAAAGTGGTGTAGAGGCTTGCTTAGTTTTGAAAAGAGTGCCATACACTTGCTGCCAAGACAGAAGTCACCTATAAAATGATGTAGATTTAAAGATAGAATATACAGCTGTATAACACCAGGGAGGTCCCTGGTGATTTCAGATTCTCTTTGAAGTTTTTCTTTCCATTACTGTTGTGTTCTCCAGAAAAGTGACTAGTTTGTATGGTGTCATTTCAATGCCATGAAGCATTTTCTGATTTAGTCTGCAGGGTTTTTCCCTGAGAGCAGGGTAGTTCAATAATGGCATTTTAGGAAGCAAAAGCTTCTAGAAGCCCATCAAAAAAGAAGGGGAAAAAAACCCTGCTTGGCATTTGATGACCAGTATGCATCACAGTTAAGTGAGTTTGGGGTCAGTTTGCTTGGTTACAAATGAGTAACCCTTTCATAAAATATGTCATCACAGAGAGGCCAAAGAGTGGCAATAGGATTATTCTGTTACTAGAAAGGGTGTTTCTCTCAGCTGGTCTGAGACCTTGGCTGGTCGTGATGAGGGGGAAGTTTCTTCTGAACTTTCCTATGCTGACCCTGCTTTGTGGATAGAGCATCACACTTTAAAGCTGTCAGTTCACATTGACTGCAGGGCTATACTTTTGGTTTTAGGACTAAGAACTGTGGCTCTGCGACATGCACATTGGGTAACCTTGGGCATGGCCCTGAATCTCTCTGGAAATTAATTTCCCAATACTGTGCTGTATCTAAATTGCCAACAACAATCCAGCTTGTTCCCCTACCAACTCCTAAATTTACCTAGGGGGAGGGGAGGGAGATGCCAGTCTGGCTCTGGCTGAAATAAAAGGAGTCAATCCTTATATAATCAATCCTTATACATTGATGGCTGTTAGAGTAACCTGATATTTAACTGAAGGGCATAAACTTCCTGTTTCATGAATCGGGGAGAATTTCTCTTGCTTCACCTATAGCATAATTGACCAGCTGTTTTAGAAAAACATGAAAAACCTACTACTTGTAGCAGGGGTGGACAGTTATTTTGGCTGGAGGGCCACTTAACGAGTTTTGGTGAGGCATCGAGGGCTGCAACGGTAGCCCCACCCCCTGGTCACCATCTTGTGACCAGAGGTCCCACCCTCTAACCCTGACTTTGCCACCAGAAGTTTCTCCCCTTACCCAAGAAGTCCTCCTGGGGGGTTGCTTGTATATTGTGTGTGATGGGGTGGGGGGTGGGTGTGATTGAGGTGGGGGGGATATGTGTGGGGTGTGGTTGGGGTTTGTGGGGGTTGGGGTGGGAGTTTCCCCCCTTCTCCCCACCTGGCTTCCCCCTGCCCACTTTGTTACGTGGCTGAGCCCAGCCCCTCTGCAGGAGAGGAAGAAGGATGGGGCTGCCTTGCCTGGCTCGCAGCACACTGCAAAGGCGTTGCGGTGGCAAGAGAAACCCCTGGGGGAACAGGGAGCTGAGCCTGGTATCCTTGGTCTCTGTCCCACACCTGCCTGGTGGGGCTGCACCAAGTTCATGTTGATTTCTGCTGCTGCTCCGCACTATCCATCTGTCCCGTGCCTGGCCAGCAAGACTGATCCAAGCCCACACTGGCTTCTGCTGCTCCCACCTCACCTGCCTATCCCATGCCTACCCAGTGGGGCTTTGTGAGCAGCCAAGCTCCTTTACCCCCACCATCCACATGCTCCCCTGCCCAGCCATGCACAAGCAGGACCAGAGTAAGCTGCAGGCAGAGCCCTGCTCCCCTCAAAGCTACAGCTTCCCCATCTCTACCTGCTGCCTTGAGCACTGCAGCAGGGACAGGAGGAGTTGTTGCTGGAGGCCTAGGCAGCCTGGCAGTTCCCCGGGCAGTGGCAGCAGCAGCCCTGCCCAGAAACTGTGCCTGGCATCAGGGGAGGCTGGGAGCGCAGCACAGGCTGCCCTAGGCGGGGGGGGGCAGGACTCGGCTCCATGCAGAGGGTACCAGGGGCAGCTCCTGATTGGGCCAGATGCAATTAATTGGTGGGTGCCTGCCTGTGAGCCAGATCTGGCCTGTGGGCTGCATTTTGCCCACCCATGGCTTAGTCATCACTTACAGCAGAGTACCAGAGACCAGTAATTTGAGTCGGTACTTAAAAATCCTATATTCATAGGATTAGCCACAATCATCTAACAGTTTAAAACAGACTTTTCTTATTTGTTTTAGATTGAAAGTCTTGCTTAAATTTGTGTAGCAAAGCATGTTTGCTGACATAAAGCAATAAAAACGTGACTATTTTTCTTTGTTTAGAAACTGCCCTCAGTTCCCTGGACATGTGACCTCCTTTGACTATCCCCAAGACCTGTTTTTTCTTCTTAATCTTTTCAAACCTCTGAAAGAGGGTGTAGTATATGGGAGGAGCTTATTAGTCTTTGAGTCTGCATCAAGGTTTCCCAGTGGGTGGGATCAAGGTCACAGAATTAAATCAAGTGTTATCAACCAGGCCAAGCTTTGTTTATTCCAGACTTTCACTAATCGTGTCGCCCCCCCCCCCCCCCAAAAAAAAAAAAAAAAAAACCCCACGATCTTCTGCCCCCCCCCCCCCCCCCCCAAAAAAAAAAAAAAAAGCTACTCCTGAGTTATCTAATAGATAAACAGAGGCTGAGTACATCTCTTGAACTTTTGTTTTCACGAGATCTAGAGAAACTCATGAAGATATGACACTTTGTCAGCATCCAGATTTGAACTGGTAGTGTTTTCCAACTTTCACTTTCAATCCAACCATCTTGGGCACCTTTTACACTGGGAGTGGGGTTTCTTTGACAGTTTTTTCAGAGGACCAAAGCTACCAAGCACCTCAGGATGGAAAAAAGAATTAAAATTTGGGGCAAATAGGCATATATAGATGAGTGTTTAACTCACTGCAACCCTGCTCCTTAGATTCTTTGTCCTCTTATTTCAGTTTCTCTGGACCATTTGATTTCAGGCTGAGAAGTCAGATGATGTAATAACCTTGGTAAAAGGATGTTAATTTAGCTTTTAAAACACTGTGGTTGCCATCTGCTGGTCCCCAAGAGGCCTGCAGCCTTGAGCTTGCTGAAGAAAAAGCGTGGGTGGGATGAAGTTGTATTGCAATCTAACACAGCCAAAATTCATAGCAGTGCAGTGAAAGCATGGTAAATCAAATATCCTGTGTACAATTAAGCCAGGTTTTAATTAAAATAAATTAAAAACTGAAACCTGAAAAAGAATGTGTTGCATCCAAAAACTTGTCTATCCCAAGTATTGTTAGTCTAATAAAAGACATCGCCCACAAAAATCCTTGCCTTTTTGCATTTTTTTAAATGTAAGTAAATCTCTAGGTCCATCATTAGAATAAACTGGAAAGTGATCTGGAAGAGGGGAGAATAAGTAAAGAAAATGCATCACATCCACAAAGTTAATGATATCAGTATATTGTATTTGTTGACTATCTCTTCAAAGGACATTTTTTCCTTTGCTGTTTTACATGGGGCCAGCCTTTATGAACATCTATATTGAGTGTTGATGGTTCAGCAGCTGCCAGCACATCATAGCCTCCAGTGCTTCGTAGGAAGCAGGCTCTGGTTTACCCATCGTAACTGTCAGGATATTTTGAACACTGCTCTAGAAGCTTTTCCCTGGGACCTAAGTTCCTGCTATTAATAAACTTCAGCCTACTGCCAGCTGGCTCTGTCCTGCTGTCCAACCTGCTCTTGCACCATATGTGTTTGCCCTTGCCCTCTGGGGTCAGGTTGGCAGCTATGGTTGAAGCTTCTGTGTCCAGTCACAGGGGTGGTGTAATTTTAAAGGAGGTTCAGGCAAAGGCATTTGAGGTTCAAATGCTGCTTGAAATGTTTTGCCTAGTAATTACGGTCTCAAATTATTGAACATTCAAATAGCTTTGGTTGTCCTGTAGGGTCTGGGGGAGGGACTCATCTGCTTCAAAGTCCCAGGAAATTACGTGTAGCTCCAGTCACTAGCATGAAATTTGCTGGAGGAGCAGCCATGTCAGTAGGGGCTGTATTTGCCCCTCAGGTACAGACCAGGGGTGGGGAGGGAACAGATGGTAGAAAAAGCTGGGCACGATGGGGTGAACTCCTATTCCCATTGCTCTTAGCTGGCACCAGCTAGATTTTAGAGCAGTGGTTCTCAACTGAGGCGAGAAAAAATGTTATGGAGGGGTGCTTTGAGGCTAAAAGATTCAGAAACCACTGCCTTGGAGACTTAATACAAAGCAGTGGCATGCAGGAAGCTCCAGATATCATATTTTTTTGGCAGTCAGATGACAGTATGAGGCTATAAGCAGCTGTTCACAAAGACAAGGCCATTCTTCTGGGATTCCAGGGCCAGAGTGTGGTGATGATTCTGGTGTGCTATTCAGAGAGGGTCAGCTCTGGTCTCTCAGTAAGTCTAACTGGTCCGTCTCAGGAAGGCACTGAATTACCACATTAGTGTTCCCTGTGTAGTAGTACCTCCTCAACTTTAGTGCCTCCAAGACGAGCTAACATGGGCTTTGTGGGAGAAGCAGATTGGGGAAGAGCAGCAGTCTGTGGAAATGGTGTGAGCTGAGACAGTGGGCCCAGATATATGTATATGATTGCGGGAGCAAAATGTGTTTTCAGTCAGATGTTTGGGGGGGGGTGCGCGTATGCATGTGCATGCACGCACAGCTGTATGTACTCAAGGACTGTGCTGAGCATAGGGTAAAGTAGGTTTGTACATCTCTGCCCATAGAATAATGGCACCCTTCTTAATAGGTAAGTACTCCTGATTTAGAGATGTGGTAAGTGTTTGAGACCCTGCCTGGTAGCAGAGCTGAGGGATAGGCCCCCTTTTCCCCACAGGGCTGGGTTGAGCCCAGTCATGCTGCCTGCCCTTTCCCCTCCTGCAGGGCTGCATTGGGCCCAAGACATGTTTCCTCTTTCCCCATGGTGCTGGGTTGGACTTGGGCCTGCCTCCTTTTCCCTGTTGTCCCCTCCCTCCACGTGGCCCAAAGCTGGGTTGGAACCACCCTCTGGCCTGAAGTCAGACCAGGTTCTGCTCATCCATCCTAGAGGAAAAAGGTTAGGCACAACTGGCCTAAAGAATTGGTGTCTGGCTCTTCTGGTGACCGTTCGTATATGAAATAACTTCCCTAAGTTGTTTCGTTTTGAGAGGGAGGTAAAGATATCTGAAAAAGATTCCATCGTCTGCTTTGACCCTGAATTGAGGATGTCAAGTTTTGTCGTCTTCCCTTCCTGGCGGGACAGGGAGCTCGTGGAGGGGGACCTCTTTCGTTGGAGCAGCAAGTGTATCACCTTAGCACTGCAGGAAGGGAATTTTCAGCTTGGACATACAAGCACAAGGGGACACTTCCCTTGGAAGGTGCTATATTCCCCAAAATGGCAACCTTTCCCTGAAAACACCTTGGGATTTTTAATTGATATACCATCCCTTACCACTCATTCCTTATTGAGGGAGTATGCTCTGTGAGCTTGAATTGTAGCATGTGTTGATTGTTCTGAGTGTGTTGTTACTTTGTACCCGTCTGCAGATGTGCCGACAAGCCTGCACTTCCAGAGTATGCTGAAATCCCAGTGGCAGAATAAGCCCTATGAGAAGATTAAACCTCCCAAAAAGCTGTCACTGAAGCATAGAGCCCCCATGCCAACCAGCAGTTTGTCTGACCCAGCTCGTAAGGACCGCCACAAGCTGGTCAATTCCTTCTTCACTACAGCCAGTAAGTGTCTATCCTTTCTGGGTTTTTTCCTTGACTTTTGCCTGGTGATTTACAGCCAATCCTGCCAGTGTCCTGTACTTCTACAATCAGGGCAAAAAGTGGACATTTGCCTCTGTTAGGTTAAGCTACAGATGGGGCATGCTGCTATGGTAATAGGACATGTTGCTATGTATGCTATCCCAAGACTTGGGTTGGAGGTGATGTGTGCGCAGATGTGAATCAAGCTGGGCCTGAACGCTAAGAGGTAAGAGGTGCAACATGCTCGTTCTGAGACTTCCCAGCCACACAGTTCACAGTTGCCATGGAAGGGTTAGGGATTCCCCTGGCAGGGTTAGGAGCTGCACTGCTTTAGTAAGTATGTCTGCCTGGAGCCGTGACCCTTCTGGATCTTTGATGTCAGCCATTTTTACGTGAGTCTCCTGTGCAAACAGAAAGAGAGGTGAAAACAGACATTTCATAGCTCCTTTTCTGTTCCCCTCCTCAGAGCGCTCACATCACAAAATCCTACCAGACAAGGCATACAGGCAACCCTTAGACGATTTAATGGCCATGTCCAAGGCCGAGAGAGCGCCAGAGCGCTCACTTATCCAGCCTCCTGCACATGACACAAACCGATTGTGGGACTACTCATCTGAGAGAAGCGAAGGTAGGCTCCCATAGCCAGGTCTCTTGGGGGAGCTTGGGCTTGGCTGCATTTCCATCCCCTACCTCTTTCAACTTTGGAGAAGCAATGCACTGCTTCTGGGAGTGAAAGGCGCCTTGTCTCACCACTGCAGCAATCTCTATACGCTCTAACTGCTTATTCCCTCAGGGCCTGTAAAGCTAGCATCCACAGTCGGAAGAAGCTTCTATTTCGTGCAGAATGGTCCCTTGACACTGGTCCCTTCTCAGGAGATGAGACCCCTTTTGACTAATGTTATCTGTTTTTCTCCTTGCTCTGTAGTGTTGAAGCATCACACGGATGTTGGAGGCCCAAGCTACTTATCAGCGGCTACAACCCCAACGCCTCACAGCCCCATTGTGCGGCAGTTGTCCACCTCCTCTGAAAGTTCTGCTCCTGCCAGCGCAAGTTCACAAGGCACCTCTGTAAGTACTTGGCCCAGACCTGGATATGCTTCGAGAGAGGTTGCTGAGCTGCACCTTACTGTGAGGATGGCTAAACTGTAATCCTGGTTCCTTGAGCTGCTTCCTAAGCAAGGCAAAGGCATTATTCTTTTGCATTGCTTAGTAGTTCTGTTGCCTGTGCTGGAACCACAAGTTTGGTTGTGGGCGGGCAGTGTAGCTGACTGCTAATCCATTTTGGAGTTCTAGGAGGGAGTGCCAGCCCTAGTAAGATTCCCAAAGTGGCACTGCTTGTTTGAACTTCCAACTAATGCAACAGTTGCAGATTCTATATAGTATTCAGTATTTCTCCTCAGTCAGCTAACATTTTCAGAGTTGTGTAGAGCAGGCTTCAGCCATCTGGTCTTAGTCTGGGTCCCAGTCCCTTCCAGTGTGGGAGAGCCTTGTAACGTTCATGATCAAGCGTGACGGGAGAGGCACCCAACTGAGCATCCTCAGTATGCTGATGACATCACAATGGTACTTTCATTTACAGCACTCTTCATAGACGGGTGTTTCACAAGTGGGCAGTGTTAGATGTGAAATGGGAATGGAGATGCCAACTCATGGAGGGGACACTTTGTTACTGATTCACTGTATGAACTAGAGTAGAAGCAGGATTCCCAGGTGTCTGCTTCCCCTGTGCCATATTGGCTAGACTGTAGCAGCCCATGTACCCCATGTTGTCTTGTGATCTTTGAGCTTCACAAAAGCATTTAAGTGATGTAGGGATCCATATTCAAGAACCCTTGAAAGAAGTAGTCACTCTAACACGATGGTATCCACCCTTGCAAGTTCTGAAATCCTATTGGCAGTACTTTGTGATTGACAGTATTGAATGCTTCTCAACTATTAGGCAATATTAGCATGGATACCAGTCCATTACCCTTAGAGCAGCTTCTGCATTTAGCAGCTTCAGCATCATGACCTGATCTAAAGCCTGATTTAAAGTGGGCCAGAGACCCTGAGAATGTGAGGAGGTGGGACCTAGACTTTTCTTCACCTCCTGTTCTCATGTCCAGGCAGGAGGTTCTAAAACAGATCGTAGTTAGCTGGACAGTTAGACCCAGATTGTGCTTCACCTATTGGACAGAAAAGCAGGATCCTGTTCCACCTTGCTCTTACTCCTGAAAAAGTTACCCCCCTACTTTTGTCTTAATCTGAAGACTAAGGACAGAATCCTGTTTCATTTGACACACTCAAATGGGCTTTTGTTTACTGAGCAGCATGACTGCCATTTTTGGCACTGAAAAGCAGTTTGCAATCTTATTTGGCTTGCTGTGGGATATGCAAGTATCCAAGCATGCTCAGTAGGCTGAGCTCTGGCCAGGCAGGTAGCAGTGCTGTGCACACAGGCAAGTTTAAGTTCTGACGTTGTAGCCAGGCAAAAACCCAAGGCATTTTTTTAAGCTAAATGGCTAATGGTTAGGCCATTCACTTAAGGGTCACACAAGTGGAAGAAGCAAGGTCTGGGGAAGAATTGCAAGATCCATGCCCTCTTGACAGTCATAAAAGAGAGTTTTGACATGATTTCACCTTGCCTAGTTTTCTACCAAGAAAAAACCCCTAAAAAACAAACAGCTTGATTCCTGATCCTAACGTAGGATTAGATTACTTCATAAAGTTTTCTCCAATCTCCCTGCTACTGCTGCATTGTTTCCTACGATATAATCTCAAATTGCCTTTACCAGTAAAACGAATTAATATCTTATGATGACTTCTTGGCTTCATTTGGGAGACTATTCCTGGATCTAGATCTTCTCATTGCTTGCCAGGTCACATTATCATGTTTGCTTTTTGGCAGCCCCCAGGTAATACGATTCCATGACTGCACAATCTTAAATTTCTGTCTTAAAAACAAAAAACCTAGCAGTCAAGATTATAACTGTTAATTTAAATTTCCTTCACAATCATGTTTTCTTGCAGAGATGTTATAACTATAGAGGTGTGAACTGCCCTATTTAGTCTCAGTGAAATTACTTATTTTCACAATTAAAATATTAAGTTAATTGCTTATCACTTCTTTTACAGAAACATACAGGGACCAGGCTTAACCTCCCAAACTGCTTTCCAGGACTTCAGAAAGCAAAAGCCTAAATGGCACTTAACCCTTACTTATTCCTTCTGGTGGTAGTTCTTTTTTGCTTTCCCGTTAGGCTTTGTTCTAGAAACCATAGGATTCTCTGTGTGCTGTTGCTATTAGTTGAGCTAACTACAACATTTACTACATTCTACCATACTTTGATACAGGAAGTGCGCTAAAAGTAGATGGAGCAAAGAATATAATTTGGGAAACAAGTTCTGCTTGGGTTGGATTGGGATCAAGATAGTACCTAGGGAGAGAAAGTACCCATTAACTTGTTAGCTGATAGCCTTTTATCTATAATTTACTGAGCTGGTTTCTCTGCTCTTCTTGCTTCCAAAAGGATTTTTTTGGTTAGAAACAAATGACCTGAGCAGTCTTCTATACGGCATTAGTCAGACCGCAGTTGGAGTACTGCACCCGGTTTTGGGTGCCATACTTCAAGAGGGATGTTGATAGACTCGAGAGGGTCCAGAGGAGGGCCACTCGTATGGTTAGGAGCTTACAGGACAAGCCCTGTGAGGAGAGACTGAGGGACCTGGACCTCTTCAGCCTCCGCAAGAGAAGGCCAAGAGGTGATCTTGTGGCTGCCTACAAATTTATTAGGGGGCGCAGCAAGGTATTGGAGATGCTCTGTTCACCAGGACACCTCTTGGGATAACAAGGAACAATGGTCACAAACTGACAGCGGATTTAGGCTAGGTATCAGGAAAAACTTCTTCACAGTAAGGGTGGCTAAAATTTGGAATGGGCTTCCAAGGGAAGTGGTGCTGTCCCCTACTTTGGGGGTCTTTAAGAGAAAGCTGGATAGACACTAGCTGGGGTCATCTGACCCCACCAATCTTTCCTGCCCCGATAGGGGGCGGGCTCGATCCCTTCTGACCCTAGCATCTATGAATCTTGGATGCTGTTATGATTTTCTTTGTTACTTGGGATGATAGAGCAGCTATAAAGTTGCTCAGGACAAAGAGAGAATTAATAGCAGAAGTTCTTCATCAGATTTGCCGCCTCATGTTAGCTCTTGATGACAGCATGCCCCAAAATTCTGGGAATCGCTATGAGCTAACTAACAAAGAAGCCCAGTGGAAAAAAATCTGAGTTTTGGGAGAGGTAGATTACTTTACCTGTATGTGACAGATTGCCCTATTTCTTCCCTGTCAGTTTTTTTCACCAGTTAGTATGCAAACAGTCCTTAATCTGATTTGAAATTCTGTTTTCCAGACTGCATGGTTTTAGCATGCTATATATTTAAAGTTTGCTTATCAGCATCTCTGTCTTCTGAGTATGTCCATTAGAAATGGACATCTTGCCATCTATGAAGCTCTAAAGCTGCAGAGGGGCAAGGATTGCTGCGGGTGCTTTCTTTGAGTGGACTTAACTACGTGGTTGGGATAGACTAGCTTTTGAATGCAGTGCATTCTTCTTCAAAAGCTTGTCTTAAGTCTGTCCCAGCCATGCTGTTAATCCAATAAAAAGATACCACCCACAAAAATTTTTGTTTCTTGCATATTTCCTGGGCTATCACAGCTACCACATCAGTTCAACCTTCCCAAAGTTGCAAAGCTTTTCATTTTGAAACTTAACGATCTAAAGGGGCAGAGGACGCCTAGGAAAAAATAATCCTCTATCCAGTCAGGAAACACGTATTTGCATGCGTTCTGTTATGGGTCAGTATGTCAGTATTATTTCATACTCCAATACTGATCTTTAAGGAGGAAATGATAGAAACCACCTGATTGTCGCAAGACCTTTTTAGCAAATTGTGAGGCAGGATTTTGTCTTGTAGATAACAGGTTTTTGACCTATTTTATCAGTCTTGTAAATCTCATTAATCAGCTGCTTGCATTTCTTCCACACATTTCCTTTAAATATATCAAAACATGTTACTTGGCTGTTAATGGTTTGTAGGTCCATTGTAATTACAGTTACGTATGTGATTTTATAGTAAAAACCATGTGTTCTCTAGTGTGTGGGATAGGGAAGATGGATAAAAGGGTAACTTTTAAATATCTTCATATTGAAGTTGAGCTAAGCGTTTTTTGAACTCGGTCTTTATCAATCCTGTCACTATGGAGGAGTCGGCACGTGTAAGTCCTTGCCTGTGATATAGCAAATGCCACTGTCTAGAGCAGTGTTTCTCAACCTGTGGGTCGCAGCCCAAAAGCAAGACTACATGAAAGGGTTGCAAACAAACTTTAAAAATGGATCAGCAAATGTTCCAAATGGATTCTCCTTTAAAGGAGAAAAATGTGGGAAACCGTGGCTTTTCCCTTGCAGGCTGGCAGAGTTGCAATCTGCAAGGGGCTGCTTGGGACCTCCCTCATCCCACAAATCCCCCTGCCCCACACACTGGGGAGCCAGGGGGCGGCAGGCCGGAAGTGAGGGCCCTTGGGTTGGGACTGGCCATCAGTGTTTACTAATGGGTCCAAAAGGTTGAGAACCACTGGTCTAGAGCAGGGGTTATCAGCCCAGGGTATACTTACCCCCAGGGGTACTTGGGAAGGCCCTAGGGGGTATGTGCTGGCAGGCGGGGATAAAGCGCCACACTGCCACCTCCCAGGAGCAGGACCTACTACTTGTAACAGTATTTATTTGTTGTACAGACTTCTGCATTTTACTGTTGTTACTTACTGTGGCATGTGTTGAGAGACTGAATGAACTAAGGGACCTGAACTCCCAGACCCCAAAGGCAGCCCCACTACTTACTGGGGAGGTACTCTGGGGAATGCTGGGGAGGTTTAAATTTGTGCGGCCTCTGCTGTTTCATGTCCGCAAACCAGAGGACAGTCTTGCTCCTTGCACTAGCCCAGCATCTAATTTAAGAAACTTTGGTTGCCAAAATGATGGGAACTCATTAGTGGAGGTTTCTGATCAGCTTGGAGGCTCATTCCCTTTCCTTACCTTCTTTTGGTTTTTTGGTCTTGCAGCAGCCAAGGAGGAGGAGAGGTGAAAGCTCATTTGATATTAATAACATTGTCATCCCAATGTCTGTTGCTGCAACAACTCGTGTGGAGAAACTGCAGTACAAAGAGATCCTCACACCAAGGTATGTCACCAGGCTTATTTCCCAGCCTCCACACCTTTTGCTCCTTTTTCACACTTCTACAGTGAAAAATGCAACATCAGAAATGCATGGGTCCAAAAACTTAGTGCCTACTGGAGTGCTCTGAATGGTTGCTAGTGCTGGTCAGGTAAACTATTTTCCACTTCCATGAGTGGCAAAAAATGACTTATTTTGCGATATTTTCTAATCTATATCCTCTTCTCTATATTAATATTAGAATGCTTAGGGAATGTTAAGGAATATTATGCAAGGAGCTCCAGCTCTTGAAGACCAACTTCCCAGCCTGATGTTAATTGTGTAATCTAAATATTTTTGTTTAATTTTGAAGCTGCAGTCCTCACTGAGTCAGAGGTCTTGGCTTCTTTTCCCAGAGCAGCATATGTGGCTGGCAAGTGTTTTACATGCCTAGGGTGGTGACCTAATGTATGCAGTGCTGGAGGAGGGCAGTTGCCCCAGGCCAACACCAGCTAAAGGCAAAGCACTTATCCTTGTGTAAATAGGAACAGCAGTGTAAAGCCAAACTTCAGCTGCTTTTTGCTCGGTATAGCTATTGAAGATGACTCCTGAGCATCTATAAATAGTGTCACTTCACCGAAGGAAGTGATGTTAGCTATTACATCAGCCACCTGTCAGACTGGAAACCAAATCAAGTATTTTTAAGAAAAAAGCTGTAAAGTAAAACTAACTCAGCCATGTTAGTTCATCCTGAATGCCTTGTTGTGTATATTTTGGAACAAAACAGTAATCTTAAATTAAGTATGCAACTAAACCACAGGAATAGAGCATATTTCATGTGGATTTGCAGCTGAGTTTGTTGGAAACTTTTATTTCCTGGCTGTCTCAAAGTTGTATTTTAATGGTTTATTAACAGACTCTCAGTTAATTTTCCTGACCTTTTGTTAACAGAGGATTTGGAGGTGTCTTGTATTTTAATCCTATTAGTATTGAAATGGTGCAGGTTAGGCTTTGTAGCTCACACTATGTTGAAGTGAAAGGCTCTGCAGTTTCGCTGAAATATAGTTTATCTATTGTATTCACATCTGTACAGTGGGGGGTGAGGGGAGAAACATAATTTTGAAGCCTATAATAGGCAAAATACAATCAAATGCAGCAGAAAAATTTTATGAGAACCTAAAATCAGAGGTTTTTTTAGTTTTTTAATTGTTGTTGGTCATCTTTGCCCCAACAATAATATTACAAGACATTTTCTACATTCCAGTGTAAACACTATTTAAACAAGTAAAATATTCCTCCTTGGTGCTTGTGAGGGCAAGTTTGTACAAAAATTTTGAAGCACTGTGCGCCAATGTGTGACGGTTTGAGCGAGTGGAACCAGAAGTGAAGTAGTAGCCCTTAAATTGTACGACTTGAGTGAAGCTCAGGAAGTGAGCAAGCGGCAGATATGACGAACAGTAAATTGGTGCTTTGGATGCTTGGTGTTGGTAGCACGGGGGGAGCGCTTTGTTTGTTGTTGTGCCTAACCAGGAGGCGAAAGCAGTTCTAGGATGATTTTACACTATTTTAGTGAAACATTTACACAGTCTCTCCTGGAAATTGTTACACTAACAGCATGTCCTCCTCATCTCCAGCTGGGTAGGAAGTGGCTTTTCTCTTCCTCTTCTCCGGCTCTCCATTTGTTTTTCAACATCTCTTCATCCCGGCCTCTCCTTCCCTGGTGCCAACTAACCTCCTGTCCTGGTGTGGTGGGGGAGAGGAATCTGTTGCTGGACAGGAGAAGAAAGGAAGAGCTGCAGCAATTGCACTGTTTTCTTTACCCCGTGCAGGCTTTGCTGGCTACAGCACCACAGGAGCCAACCAGTGCAACCAGGAACTAGACAGGGGAACAGAAGGACTTGGTCCAGACCAGCATTAATTGGGAAGGAGCAGAGGAGGAAGCTCAAATGAAAAGTTTTAATTTCTCCACTCCTAAACCCCAGGAAAGGCAGACAGTTGACGGACAAGTGGTAGGAAGAAACATTGGGAGAGGAGATGCCATTTCTTTCAGGGCCCTTCTCTTCGGTTCCATTGGTGGTCCTGCGGGTGCCTAATAAGCATAGCCAAGCCATTTCGTACTCTTGTGAACTAAGCAGTTCAGCATGAGAAGTGCAGAATCTGTTAAGCCTTTGAAACTAGGGGGAGGTTCAGTAGACAAAATGTAGCTACTTGAATTGGAGCTTGGCACCAAGGTAGGGACTTGCCATTTCAAATTGTTGACTCTTCTAGACTGCTGCTTATTAGACAGCAAATTAGCATGTGTATGGGGTATGTTACACGGACTACAAGTAAAAATTATTTACATTTGAAAGCTTGTCTAACTGTATCCCAACTATGCAGTTGGTCCAATAAAAGATATCAGCCAAAGAAATCCTTACTTTTTGCATAATTCCTGGACTGTCACAGCTGCAGCATCACTCTAACAGTGCCATGAACTACAGGGAAATGTTACAGACTTGTCTATGCTTCCCCAAGACTGAATGACATGGTTTTTAATGGTGTGTTTCAGCTGGCGTGAAGTGGATATCAGTGCTCTAAAAGTGAACTCGGATGAAGACAATGAGGAGGTAATGATGGATGCTTTGTTTCCTTATTAACTTGGGAGACTTCTCCCTTCTGGGGATGGAGTTAGCAGTTGTTCTGTAACTTGCATGTGCGTGGGGAAATGCTCCCTGGGAGAATAAAATGCTGGGAAAGCAGATCAAAAAGGGCTTCAGCAGAGAGGGTTGGGGCCTCCTTTTCATGTGTCCATGTGTGGGGGTGGGTGAGTAGGAAGTATCAGGCCTGGGCATGGCAGAGACCATGCTGGTGTCTCTAGCCAGTCCCTCCTTTTTCTGCAAGCAAGTGCTGATACGGCTTAGGAAGGCTGAGAGAGCTGCTGCAGTACCAGGTGCTAGTGTTGTTGGCTGCATACCAGATGCAGCCAAGGTCTGGCTTCTTTCTGGAGGTGCTCTTGGACAGGAGGCCCTTTGCCTTAAAGAGACAGAGTTTGTTAAAAAGGAAAGTTTGAATTCTGTCGTCATACCAATGTAAGTTAAACTGATGTGCCTAGTTTGAAGCCCCTACATTAATGTTCTCATTATGAAATAAGAGCTACTTTTTTTGGGTTGGCTTAAACTCTTTCCCGCTTGATAATGTAAACAGGAAAAAAGCATCTGAATGGGAGATTATTCCTCTGTAAAGATGTTTTAAATACTCTGTAACTAATACCAGCAGGCAGGCTGCTCATGTAAAAAGGATCTGATGCTGACTTGCAATCCCTTTTCAGATCGAGGACCTGTCTGACTCGGCCTTTGCTGCTCTGCATGCCAAGTGTGAAGAGATGGAGCGGGCAAGGTGGCTGTGGAGCACCAGCATGCCCCCTCAGCGACGAGGCAGCAGGTATGGCTAGTGCTGCGCTTTCTCTGCACTTGCACACGCATTGGTGTTGCTGGTGTTCCCAGCACTTGGATTCCACCCTTGGATGGAGACTCCTTCTCTTTGTTGCGTTTTGGGCATTGGGATGGGAAGGCTCTGTGTACACTATAGAGATGTGTAACTCATCTCTCTACAGAGAGGGGGCATATAGGGAGAAGAGCATAGAAACTGAGCACTTTGCTAGGTTAACTGCAAAGGTCTGGAGCAGAGGTTCCCCAGAAGGGCTGAGAAATGTTGGGCATGTGGGAAAAGACAGCCCTGCAGTAGAGAGATCCAGATGATGGAACTGATAAGCCAGCAGTTAGAGAAGATGCTGCATGTGGTGTTGGTTTTGTCTAGTAAATGTACACGTGTCTGGTGTTTGAGCTTTCGTGCCTGGATGCTAGACTGACTTAAAGCCAGAGATCTATATGGGACTTGAAAGGGCCCCAGCTCAGAAAATCACTGCCTTTTGTTGTCTGTTCTGTTTGCTAAGCCCATGTAACTTTTTTTCAGTTTCTCAAAGCAAATATCTGTTTCTCCCTTTCTAAAAGAAGGTGGTTGTGACCAGGTCAGCAGCCCTCTGGCTTCTGAGAGCTGCAGAGGTACCATTGCAAGGGTAGAGCCCTCTGCATTTCTGAGAGAGAATAAAGCAGCAATTCCCAGCCAGGGTGCTGCAAAACCCTGGGGTGCCTTGACGTCCTTTCAGGTGTGTCGTAGTGCTGCACAATGTTAGCACTGTTAGGTGTGCAAGCACAATTCACAAGATAAACCTAGAGATTTCAAATAAGAATCATCCGTCTGAATCCCTTTGATTTTTGGTATATACTTTTGGGATTGAGTGACCAGTATCTTCATCTATGAGAGGGAAAACCACTGGTAACATTAGAATTTTTTCACTATTTTCCATCACACATCAAACATTTTACTTGCATTTTTTGACCACTATTGTGCGCAGCAGCAGTTGTTTGTGGGCAGCTCAGTAAAAACATGTCTAGGTTTTTCCCCTGATTTGCTACAGCCGTTGTAGACCATAGTAAACTATATATTGGTGGTTCTGGCCTCGTAAGTGCTGCTCTGCATATGTTGATGTTCAGTTTCATCTGCTCCGATGTTGTCCGTTCTCCATCTTGACTAAATACCTCTGAACATTTGTAGCCTGTTTCTAAAGGGTGCTTTGAGTCTGGCAAGGGTTGAGCCATTGGGATAAAGTCCCTGATAATGATCCAACTTTTTGCTCAGGTCTTGGCAAGCTGTCCCACATCTGCAGATTTTTGCCACTTTGTTGCAAATGCAGATATTTAACAATGGGCTCTGTATGGAGCTTTCTGGTGTCCTGCAGTTAACCCTTTGCTGTGAGGCCAATTGTCCACTTCCTACTTTTGACTTTTCTCATAACCAGTTTTATGACCTGTGATGGTACTTGATCTCTCATCCTGAGACAACTTAATTTCTTTGGAAGTCTCTTATATATAAAAGAATAACATCAAAGGCTTTTTAAAAATCCAAGTCAATATTGTCAAACAGTTCTTATTGACACGTTCAGGGAAATCTGATAAATGTAATAACAAGCATGACTTTGCACTGGTTAGAACCTGTTGCGATAATCCAGATGGCTTATTTAAACTATCATTTTAACCAGTTTACCAGACATAAAAATAAGTCTCTCTGCTCTGTAATTCCCCAGGTAAACTAGTATTTTTAAGACACTGGGGTGTAACATTAATTTTCTTCCACTCCATAGAGATTTAACAAGATTGCATAGGCTTTGAAAAGCTCAACTATCTCCTCCTTGTGCTCCTTCAAAGAATGCTTATGCATACTGTCTGCGCCTAGTGACTTGTTGCTCTTCGGTTCATCAGTTAGTTTCAGTACCTCATGTTTTGTGCCTCCAGCTCTGATAATACTTCACCTTTACTACAGCAGAGTAAAACCCACAGTAGAGCATGTAAAACATTCCCTGCAGTGAACTGTACTGCAAATAAATTCCCTTAGCTTCTTTGTAATGTTGTGCTCTTCCTTAATTAATCCAGCTGACTTGCTGATGAATCTTGTGATCTTTCTGCTGGTGATGCACCTAACAATTTCCTAATAGTTTTCTTTTTTGCTTGTTTTTTACTCTTAGATTCGCCTAATTGTCTTTGTATGTATTAGCTGCCATAGTCTTTGTTCCTTTTATGGGCATCAGTAGGCTTGGAGTTGCATGTTCTGAAGAAAACATAACTCAGACAGTCTCTTGAACTTTTCCGCTTTAACCACGTACTGACTTACCGTGTACTTTCCCACTTCCCGTATTTGTTTAGAGGTTTGCCGAAGCTAAGGGGTCTGAATACCTTCATTTTTTATTTTACTCTCTCAGCTTGGGGAGGGAGGGGGGTGTTTGTTTGTTTTACTCCCCTCTTTCTAATATTTGGGTGTTTTTGTACCTTTTCGCCCCAAGGAATATTGAATTTAATTATTTGGTCACTCTGTCTCGACTTTGGTTGCTTTGAACCACATCTTTTGTGTGCCAGCATACGTGGTGATACGAAAATAATACACGAAGCTGATTTTAAGTATCTGAGTACCTGGGAAGGGACTATTGTCATGGTTAATTATATAGCGTAATAGGCTTGTGTTTCACAAAAACATGCCGCAAGACCTCTGCCGCGACTCTGGGAGGTGGCATGGCAGAAAGGCACTTGGGGAAGCTGACTTGAGCAGCAGGGAGATGAGGTTTGTGCAGATCTTAAAAATCCAAGACTAGCGCCACATTACAATCTTTTCAATGCGTCTTTATTTCAGGTCTTACAGATCTACAGATGGACGGACAACCCCTCAGCTGGGTAATCCCTCTACTCCCCAGCCAGCATCCCCTGATGTGGGCAGCTGCCACTCCCACTCGGAGTTTTCCCACACACACTCTCCGCGCAGTCCCATCAGCCCTGAGCTTCTGTCTGCCCCCCTGACCCCACTGTCCCGAGACTCCATGCGGCTCTTGTCCAGCGAGGACACCCGTTGCTCCACACCCGAGGCTGGCTTTGATGAGCTGGTGAGTACTTTTGGATTTGTCTCCTCCAGTCGATGAGAGGGTCCAGACATACACGCACTACTAAGGGGCTGTTGTTCTTGCAGTGGTTGCAGATTTGTAATGGCAAATGTGGAATCCAAGAATTTAATCTTCTCTTGATTCATTATGGACAGCTGCTTGGGAAAAATTGCAGTAGCTTGTTCAGCTGGACTGAAGAAAAAGTCCATTTTCATTCACCTTGGACAGGCACCATCCTGACTGCTAGGGTCCTTTGGGTGTCTGTCTGCAATGAAAGTACCCGAAGATCCCCCTCAAATGCTGTGGCAAGAAATTTAGATTAAGTTAATGGTTAACCCAGTGCAGTTTAACAGCGTTAGTTGTTGGCCAGGACTGCCACGCCTCAGGAGTGAATGGGCAGGGGACAAGCCTCTTGTGGGGTATCTTAAAGCACGCAGAGTTCATGCGAAAAGTGCTCCTGAGTGTGCATATTTTGGAGCTACCAAGTGAACAGCCCTCTTCTTTCTGTAGGCTGTACAACCCTGGGAGCGACGCACCTTCCCGCTCTCCTACAACCCCAAGACAGAGTGCGAGGACCAATCCGATCCCCAGGACCGGTCGTCGCGTTGCACCCGGCGCACGTCAGGCAGCAAGTCGTCCCGGGAGATGGACAGCACTCCCCCCTTGTCCACCTTCGCCAGCCTCAAGAGTCGGAACCCAGTCGCAGCCCCGGCAGCAGCAGCGGTGGCAGCAGCAGCAGTTCAGCGACCAGCGCATAGATAGAGACAGACGGGAAGGAATAAGCAAAACCCACACACGCAACTAACTCTTGGCATTAAAGCTTCCGAAATCTGCGTTTGATATTCAAACATCCTGCTGGGAATTTTCACAGTTTTTAGTGAATTTAAGGAGTTTAGAAACTGTTTTGTTTTTTTGTTTTTGTTTCTTTTTTTCCATGTTTCCTTGTCACACAGATGAGCCCCAGGTTCCTCCCAGCCAAGGGAAGCCTTGGGAGGGGAGCAGCCCGCCAGACACCCTTTCTGCCCCACCCCCACTTAGGTGTATAATTCTAGAGCACAGGATGTAGCTGACTAGCAGATTATGGGGATTGATTTCTCAAGCAAAAGGGTGTTTTTCCTTCTACCCTCTGCCCGCTACCCCCTCCCTGAAAGGTTTAGTGGAGTGAAATTAGTGGTGAAAAGTGATGTCTTTGGAATGCAGCCTCCTTCACTAGCTGTCTCCTTATGTGCAGAGCAGAGATCTGACAGCCCCTGAGCCCCCACCCTCCCACATCACCTCCTGGTTGTTTTTGTTCCCCCGGGTTGTAATTCCAGGTATTCATAGGAGTGATTCTGACCCCACTAAGGCTGCCTGTTGCATTAGTGTACTGATTTTCAGCTCTTCCTTTCCCCCATCCTTGCTTTCAGAACTTCTGTTCCTTTTGTAGAGAACAAGCGTCCCTGTCAGCTGGGGAAAGGAAGGTCCTTCTCAGCCGCTTCACGCACAGCTCCTTGTGGGGGAGTGGGATTTTGGAAGCAGTCCTGTTCCATTTACATCATGTCTTTTCCCTGTTCACAACCCAGGGTAATGAGTCCAGCCCGGTGCATTCTTGTGCTGCAGTGGGAGCAGACCTTACACAATGCACTTAAGGACTCATGTTGGGATCTGACTTTCTGCTGGCACTAGTAAGAGTTTCAGCTGGGTAATGCAGATCTTTTACCACTTCTCTTTTCCTTTATGTCCCTGTCTCCACCTCCTTTCCCTCCACCCCACCCATACACCTTGAAAGTTTCAGGCCATATTAACTGCCACCACTTCTGTTAACTATTAGTACTGCTCAGAAACCATCCTGAGTTGCAGTGGTCAGGAAGATGGGTCCTGTTGCCATGCCTGGGCCTTGCCCTGGGAATACTATAGGGTTGCAGTGCATAGGCCGCTTAGTTCTGTTTCCTTGCCGCTGGGTTGGCCTCTTCAAAGAAGCCCAGAAGATTAAGGCGGCAGCAGCATTGTGTCCTGCTCATCTGCCAGCTCTGTCCTTGTACAGGTGCTCAGTGCTTGCTTAGGAAAGAAATAGGACTTATTTTTCACCACTGCTCAATTCCACTTCCACACATTTTGAAAACAGATGTTTAGTCAGTTTCATTTTGGAGGGCTCTTGTCTCTCAGCAGCCACCAGGCTTGACAAGTGTCTTCTTTTCAAGTAATACCACCACCACTGCCCCCACCTCTTTGCTGCCCCCGGTGACTCCTGGATCCCACACACCGTTTCCATCTGTAACGTTTTTCTGATCCTGACGGTGTGGCTATGGTTCCTGTCCTGTTGTTAGCATTGTGCCTGTCTTACGTATAATCACATCACCAAAAAAGGAAAAAAAAATACAAAGGACATAATTTTTTTTTCCATTTTGTAATCGTAAAGAAATAGTAGCTAAACTGCTTAATGGTTGGGGTTTTCACAATTTTCAACATTATCTAGTGTTTTTTGGTTCTGTTCTAGTTTAAAGGATTTGTCATCGTTTCTTTAAAAAAAAAAAAAAAAAACAATGCTACCATATCCCTCTGCATAAGTGCTTTTCTATTTATAAGGTTGAAAATTCTGAATAACCCTTTTAGCATTATAAAAAAAAAACCACAAAAAACACCTTGTATTTTGTAAATATTTTCTTTTCCTGCTTTGAGCTGTGTAATGTCCTTGTTATATAGAAATGCTTTTCTTCCGAGAAGCTGATCTTTGTTAATGTCTTGATTCTGTTGGCAAAGCACAAATGTGCTTATAAAAAAAAGAGAAAAGATTAAAAAAATATAAAAAAGTTAGAACATTCTCTGCAAGCTCCTGGCTCTGTGCTCTCTGTTGTGGGGCTCCCAAACCAGCACGCAAGGCGAAGCGGGGTGGGGTGGGGATGTGGCTGCACTCTGCTTGGAGGGGGATGGGCAGTGCCTCCAGTACTGCACCTGGGACTAAGCTGGTATTGTAGCTTGGGTTCCCAGTGATGTCCTAAGGAGTTTTCTGTGTGCAGAAGGTTCCTGTAACTTAAGAAAATCAAATTGCAGCCTCTTGGACAAGAGATGTTGGAGCTGGATGCTGGTCCGAGGGCAGCGAGGCTTTTGCTTACACTCCTATGGCGTTTCATAACCTGTCACTATTATTACCACAGCATGACTTCATTGCTAAGCAGCCTTTTGAGAGAGGGGCCTCTCCAGTTTCCTCAACTAGTGAGGGGCTTGGCTTTGAAGCCAAAATACTGTTTTCTGGAGGTGAGCATTAAAGTACCCTTTGATTCTCTCCTCTTGTCTTAGAAGTCTGATTGTAAGCCAGTGATTCTTAACCAGGGAGATGGGTTATCCTGGGGTGCCACAAGATCCTTTGAAGGCTGTTACAGGAAGTGTGAGGAGTTAAGCAGATAAGTGCAGGCTCTCCCTGCCTTGTCTCTCTGTAAGGAGGTATAAGCGCTGTAATACATTCATATTTGAATGTTATGGAGATGGGCCTGAGTTGGAAAATGATGTCACCAGTGCAAGTAGAGCACAGGGCTGTTGGTAGGGTGGGATGGCTGCCCAGTGACTAGTTGGGTGTGGAGGAGATGGCCCCCCTCTGTATTGCTGATGCTTTCCAAATGATAGACACCAACCTGGCCTGAAGTAGAATGTGCGAGCTCCGTTCCATGTACGGGTCAGAAGGGCAGACCTGCTCACCTGGCCAAGGGTGCTCCCTAAAGCACTGTTTCCTTAAGGGGAACTGGAACCAGGGTGTCTCCTACTGGTGCTTTGTTGTAATGCAGGACCTGTTAACAGGCTTCAGCATCACTGGATATAGTTGGGAGTTTAGGGCACCTTCCTCTGGGCCTTACTCTGAAATCCCAGCCTTCATTTTTGTGTCCCTCTGTCAGGTTTGTACTAGTCTCATTTTACAGATTGGGAAGTGGGCTATAGGGTGGTCACATGATGTCATTGATGGTCTGAGAGCGTGGGTTTCCCCACTCCAGGACCCTCGCTTTAACCATCCTGATGCTGTTCCCTGAAGCTCTGCTTCCTGACAGGCAACATCAGGCTTCAGGTTCCACCTTTCCTCTTGCTGCAGGGGAGTGTGAATGACGCCAGGGCAATACCGCAGCTGCAGCTTTTCGCTTCTCCATCCCACAGACGGAGGAGGACAGCTAATGCTGCAGCTCGGGTTTCATGGTGATGTCAGTGTTCACCAGGCCTGCAACAAAGGCAAGGGCAGCCAGTCTGGAGAGGTCTCACTTGTGTAATATAACAGGTGGTGAGTGGGGGGGGAGGAGGGAGAGAGGAGACCGCTGGCAGCCTCTGGAGAGGGTGGGGAAGAGGTTCTGTGTCTCCTTTGAACTTTTTTGACAAGGCAGGGCAGACTGGCACCTTAGAGCAGTGATTCCCAACCCTGGGGGCTGGGGCTGTGCTGTGCAATAGTGGGTGTGCAAGAACCTACAGCTGTGCTATGGGCTTTCACAGGTCTTTGTAGCAAAGGAATTGCTCTATTATTTTTCTGTAGTCAAGCAATAAGTGACAGCTATGAGCTGGCTGGCATCTTCTGAGGAAGGCCTTGGAGACTAACACGCACAGCAACACATGAGCTCTTGTTTGGCATTGGAGCATTTCCCAGTTGGGGAGGGGAAAGAAAGACTTTGGAAGTAATTTGCAGCTGCTGAAGCTCACGACTGCAAATGAAAAGCCCTGAGAGATCAGCTCTTCCCCAGACCCCAACAACGACAGACTTAATCCAAAGGGCTATTAGTTTCATAGTTTCCAGGGTCGGAAGGGACCTGAGGAGATCATCTAGTCCGACCCCCTGCCATGGCAGGAAAGAGTACTGGGGGCAAAAGACCCCAGCAAGATGGTCATCTAACCTCCTCTTAAAAAACCCCAGGCTGGGAGGCTGCCCCCCCTCACTTGGGTGAAATAGTGCCTCCTAATGTCTAGCCTGAAACTACACTCCGCTAGCTTGTGTCCGTTGTTTCTTGTAACTCCCGGGAGTGCTCGGGGGAACAGGGACTCCCCCAATGCCTGCTGGTCCCCCTTGACTAGTTTGTAGACTGCCACTAGATCCCCTTTCAGCCTCCTCTTTTGGAGGCTGAACAGGTTCAGAGTCCCTCAGCCTCTCCTCATAGGGCCTGCCCTACTGTCCCCAGATTATGTGGATGGCCCTCCTTTGGACCCTCTCCATATTGGCCACATTCCTCCTGAAGTGTGGCGCCCAGAACTGGATGCAGTACTCCAGCTGCGGCCTGACCAGTGTCACACAGAGGGGGAGGATCACCTCCTTGGACCTGCTTGAGATGCATCTGTGGATGCACGACAAGGTGTGGTTGGCCTTCCTGACAATGATGACTCCAAGATCCTGTATTGTAAGCTAACTGGTCCCATTCATCCAGAGAAGCCAGCTGTGGTAGATTTGATGGCCCCCATTTGCCTTTGCTGCAGAAAATTGTCAAGGCTGGAGCTATACACAGACGTCACCAGAGAAGAACAAGTTGCAACTTCCTCCTGTTGCAGTAGTGGGATAGTGAGTGTTGTCCAGATAGCTGAAGCCAGACAGTTTATTGCAGCAAAGTAGGTGTAGCAGCTCAAAGAGCTTCTGTTCCATTCCCTATTCAAAGCTCTTCATTATTGCAATGGCCTCAAGGGGTGCTTAGAGCTCAAATATTTGTCCGGTTTAAAGTGCAGTATCTGGCTTACCGCAAAAGCTTGTCTTGTAAATACACTCAGACCTCATGCCTCTTGAATTGCCCTTAACAGCTGGATGCTTCTGTGCCTCTAACGTGGCTGAATCCTCACATATGAGGGGAGAAGGGGGAAGGAGATGGTGAAATGTTTTGCTTGTGATTTAGACACTGTTGGGGCTCCAACAGTTAGTTCCAGGCTGTTTGCCACTAGGTGCAGGACCTAAAGGTGGGGTTTATTGAACAGTGCCAGGCAGAGCCTACATTGTTTGTTGTAGACAAGGCCCTAAGTTCCCATTTCGAGACAGAGGCCCTGTGCTCTGCAGGTAGGGCTGTGGAGACATGCAGGAAATTGCAATGCCAGGGGGGAGTGGTGCACACGTGTTTTAAATTGTGGCATGTTCATAGCTGGAGGCTGAGTTGTATGGTATTCTCTGGCGGGAATGTTGAATTTGAGGGGCAGTAGCATGAGCTTAATGTGAACTTGTGACAGCTGCCTGGTGAACACAGCCTGCTTGCAGTAGGGATATTCCTTAGGCTTTGTCTACAGTCCATTGTAAATGCTCCCTCTTGGACTGGGCCATAGCACCAACTCCAGGTCTTTGGTGTAGAATTCCTGTGCATATAAGTGATTGCAATAGTGCATGAGGTATGGCAGAGACCCTAGGCCCCACCTCGACTCGTACGCCTTCCAAGATGGGCTGCGTAGCATTTCCCTTCTGCCATCTGACAAACAGAGGAACCACGGCAGCATTTTATTGTAGTAATGACTTTATTTCCAAATTCACTTTTACGGCATCAGTGTAAACCAGTTGTTAAAACACACAATTCACTATGGACATTCACAGACAGGAAGCTAAGCTAGGATGGTCATACTGAGATCACACCCTCCCACCCCCTCACCCCATAAATTTAAAGGGAATCATGGGATTGCAAACACCATAATTGTCATTTGACACTTCAAATTTATGTAACAAGCATATTTTGAGTTCAGAAACATGATTTGAGTCATAGTGCCAATTTTAACCCTTTTCAGACCAAGACAGGTAGTGGGGGGCAGGGGGGTGGGGAATTGGTCAGCTAGTCCCATGTCACTGGGCTAGCACCATCTCTTACAGAAAGATTAATTTACCAGAAAACTGCAGGCCTTGGACTAAGTTCTGGGTAGGCAATGCCTAGAAAATGTGCATGTGTGATGGGCTGGGAGGGGATGACAACTGGAACCAGTCACTCTGCTGCAGGAGAGGGGGTGCTAAGATGTGATTGAATAGGGGATCCTGATGCTAGCAGGAGAGGAAGCTGGACAGGCTGGGATCAGCAGCTGCAAAGGAAGGAGGAGACTGGCCACAGGCTGTAGTGGGGAAGTGGGGGGCACTTGGTAAGAGCTCAGTGCATGTGCTGCTAAGAGTTGAATTCATCCAAGGATGAGGGGTAGTGTCTGCCAGTAATTCCTCATAGCACCAAGCGCAGGGGCCTAGCCAGGCTCTGGGGGGGTTGGTGTGGCAAGGAACATCCTAGCAGGCGCATCCAAGACTGCAGCTTGGCTCATCTAAGACCATATTAGACCAGTCTTCAGTGGAGGCAGAAAAGGGTTAAAAGGGGTAACTTGTGTGTCCTAGGTAAAATGAATTAATGAAAGAACCATTGAACATCATAGCTGTTCCTAACATCCTACAATGATACAGAGTCACAGACTTTAAATACAGATTCTTACAATCAGAGAGTCAATTGAAGTGAACTTTTGACACTGGATGTGGGCTTTCAAGTGAGCCTCGTCCTGGCCTGTTATCCAGCCTCTCTAATAAACTTATAAAGCAACCCTTGCTGCATTCCCACTGAAGGCAAAGAGTAAATGTGGAGACCCTGCTGAAAAGAGAGATGTTGGCCAAGAGAGACCCCCTGACCTGCTACCCCCAAACCCCTTCACCCACCTCCATTTTTTCCCTTGCCTAAAGAGGAGTTAATTTGTAGCCTTACCTGGCTGCCACTCCACCCATCACTGGCTGCACTAGCAGGCAGTCCTCAGGCTCTCCCTCTGGCTGCAGTGTGGCAGCACAGGGACCTGAGGGTGCATCCAGGCTGTGCACGTGTGGAGGGGGAATAGGGGCTACATAAGCAGCACTGGGGTGGGGGTGCATGTTGCATGGGCACAAGTAGACAGGGCATGGCCCAGTAGCCCATGACTCACCTGGTGCAGCCCCCAATGGAGTTAGAAGTTGAACAGCCCTGGTCTAAAGGGAAGAGTTTAGCTATTAGGACATGGAGCCTTCACCTGCTCCTAAAAAATGTGCTGTTTTGTTCCCAACTTGCTGATCAGAACAAGCAAACAAGAAAGAGAGAACCCTTCTGGACATGAGCCATCTGTTAAGGCACAGGAAGTCTCAGCTTAACATATGCAACAGATATGACAGATCACTGCCCTCTCCCAGCCCAGGCAGCACTAGGATCAAATCAGCTACTCCTGCTGCAATCACGATCGTGCTCTCCTGCAACCTCAGATTCTGCTGCTCCATCACACCCATGTGACATAGCTCATCCTAAGGAGCAGGGGCCTACTGGCCCATGCTTGCTGCAGAGGATGTAGCTGAGAACATAAAGGACTAAAGCTGCTGTCCCAAAGGAAGCTTCAGTAGGTAATACCCAATCCTAGGTGGGGCACTACAGCCAAGTGCTAGCACCAACCCCTCCCACCCCCACCATCACACTTCCCTTCTTGCCCACCTTCTTGAACATCCTACCTCTGCCTG